AACATTCATTTTCCCCAATATGACATGATATCTGCATAACCCAAATCCATAAGAATGTTACTCAGTGCAAACGTTTTCCTGTTTAAGTAAACATGAAAATTTATGCCCTAGCTGACAAACAACAGCAACACACAGAACAAATAGTTTATCTTTTTCTGCTATTGTAGTATTAGAAGCAAATATCTGCGTTATCAAAACACAAAGAAATTACATCCAAATTCAAGATCTTACTGCTATGTATGTATAAATAAACTCAAAACTTCTATGATTTAAAATTTCTAACAAGAAATGACGGAGTCCTTTAGAGAATGTTGGCTCTTTAAGCTACTTGGGGCAGTAAAAGAGGAGCAGAAAGCAGCAACTGTTAATCCGGAGAACTTCAATGTGATCAAACCAAATGCACGTCCATGGAGATTTCATGGTTACCCCTTCTGTTATAAGCAAAGATTTTTCTAGCCATTTAAACAAGAAGATGGTTTTTCACCTTCAATCTCTAGTGGCAAACAGGCTACTTGAAAATCTTTTATTATATTTTGAATTTTGGAATTAGTGTTAGTTGTTTGTTTTTGTAGAAACGTCTGAAAAGAAATCTCACTTTAGGGTCACATTCAGTGGATCATTCTGTGTGACTCACAAACATTCCTCCTCAGCACTTCACTACAAAGTGCACCAGGTTAATTATTAGATCACAACTGCTTCCAGAGATGCTTGTGAAGTAAACATTGATCCAGAAAGCTTCTCAAGATGCCAAAGATCTTGATCTACTGAGGGATGTTTGCATACTGATCTTTACCTGAAATCTCTCTTATGAGCAGCACAACACAAGTTACTCCATTTCTGGGTAACAGTGATGTATGTAAACTCATACTGGTGACCAAAAACCAGGCTCAAAGCATCTGTCTTCTCTTTTGCCCTGCAGAGACTTTCAATGATAAGTCTGACACATTTTCAGTCATCTGTTTCACAATGCGGGTAATTTAAACTACTGGGACCTTTTCAATCAGGGAACTGCTTATTTGAAGAATACATAACAGCACTAAATTTTTGTACTGGACAGTAGATAGTATTAAGAATATATTTAATACTTATGTGAGTACTGTTGGTCATCTAGAGTCCATGTAGAAAGACATCTCAATTTTTATGGTGATATCATCACCATACACTAAATAAAAAAGAAACCATCAGTATCTTGCTTTTCACGCTTAAATTACTTTATTAGCCCAATCTTTCCCCTGTTCATAGGGGATCCTGCCTGACCAGGTTAACTTCATGCATTTGTTTCTGCAGTATACTCTGGGTCCAAATAACTCATGTGCATTATTTCTGCGGAAAACAGTAGCAAAGGATCCCTATGATTTCACCCAATCCATCTTGCTGTCTAAATAAGTATCAATTATGATCTAATACACCTAGTAATGACATTATTTGGAAGCATTTTAATGCTAATATTCATGCCTCAGTAGGCCTATCTCATAAGTTTTGTTTCTAAATGAATTAAAATCCCACCTTGGAGACAAAGTATCTGGAAATATTTCCATTTATTGATTTTGTTTTCAGTCTGTTGAGTGCTTTACTTGAGAAAAATATTTTTTTTGAAACAAAGGCAGTAACATCTACTGGATATGAACTCTGGAAAATAAGTTTTCTTTTTCTCCAGCCTCTCAGAAGGAATAGAGAAACTAGGCAAGACAGGTACCAATAGAGGCAAACATACTGATTTACTTGTAATAGACTTCAGACAGACATTAATACTTGTGCTGGGTAAGGACTGCGTGTAAAAGTCAGTTTGCCTAACTACAAACATCACTGGAATGGGATAAACTTCCTGCAAACACGTGGCTTACAGTCTTGAGCTGGAATTAGATTCAATAACATCACATTTGGGGATGCAGGGACTTCCCAAACTGTTAAGACATCAGAGGTAACAGAAAATTAATCTCTGCCAAAACCCCATCCTGTATGAGTTCAAAAGGGCTCATTCAAGTCACTTATTTATGATCCGATATAAAGAGCAAAAACCCTTCTGACAAAGTCTACAGAGTTGGGTACTCCATGGCTTCTTTGAGTCAACCTCCCAGATCTCCCACTTAACCATTCGTCTTCTATAGCTGCTTGTTAAACACTTGGTTTCAAGCATCTGAACTGTGCTGAAATATGGTGTAGATCAGCTTTGCTGTTTTGTATTTCTGGTTCAGAAGTTGCGTTTACATACTTCATCCATTAATTGGAATCTATGCTTTAGCTACAACTATAAATAAAAGAACAGAAAAAAATATGAAGAAATCTAGTTGTAAAAGAGCATTGAGGGAGTGCCAAAATAAAGTAAGTTGGCAGAAAATGATTTAGCAGATCTCATAAAAGCCTTGTGCTACTATGTTGTAAGTTAACTAAGATATTTAAAGCATGTTTAATCAACACACAAATTTTCAGCATATACCAACAAAAAGTTTATAGTATAAAAGTACCAACAACTGGAAGTTATCTGTAGAATTTTATAAATAAGTACTTGCAGATGGAAATGTAAATTACTTTTCTGAAAAAAAAAAAAACAAAAAAAAAACAGCCAGTGCAATGAAAGTGGCTTTTAATAAAACATGAGTGCAGTTGTTTTTTGCCAGTATGGTTCAGAAAAAGTGTCATTATTCTTGTTCTAGCTAATATGCATCGCTGAACAACCATACTTTTCTATTGTACATTCTAGTTACTTTGATTTGTTATATCTTTGTTTAAAAAATATATTATCAATTAGAATCTTTTGAAGTTGAGCCACTGTTTCTTCCAGCTACACGACCTAACTGTATAAAAACAGTACAGAATTAGTTTTGTGTTATTGGAGAGAAGATTAAAACATTTTTAATTCTTAAAATATCCAAAACATTGCTTGTATGTACACTGGGCTTTGCAATAGCATTAGATGTAAAATAATACCTAGTCAAACTCATTTTGGTGAACAAGAGTCAGTGGATCCTAACAGGATCACAAACACCCCTTTCCAGATAAAAAGCGATTCCAGACAGACCCTCAGCAGATGCAGTGTTCTCATCCCATCATTAAAATGGAAAATGTGAATAAGGTACAAGAAAAAAAGAAAAAGAAACATAATTCTCTACAGCACAATTCCTTCTGACTTCTAGATCTCAGGAAAAAAGCAATCATCTACGTGCTTGAAGTCAGTAGATAACATAAAGCTATTGGAATTACTTGAGCATTTAAAGTAGATGCATTTTTAGACGATTACAAAGGTCACTTATTCTCTCTCATGATTAGCAGTGTAACATCAACCCTCAGAGGAAACAGTTCCTCAGCCTGTATGAAATCAATTTGAAGAAATAAATGTGACACTGCATTTGAGAAAAACTGAAGACAACTGCTGGATCAGATATGTCTAATATTTGACTTTTGATCTCAGAAGTAGTTTAGTATGGTATATGAAAAGCTATTTAGGCTACAAAGGTTACTTATGTAGAATAAGATGTATAAACTCATCAGGTTAAGTGTTTTACAATTATTTTTAAGAGTAAAATATATTAAAAACTATCTTTGTAAGGAGCAGAGGATACACTTCTATTTAACATTTCAGAAAACAGCCTAACAAAGTTACTGCTCAGCAGCTACTTGTTTTCATTACAGCAATAGTATCTCAGAAGGGGCAGACCTCAGATTGGAGCCAAGACTCAATTTGAAAAGCATCCAGAATAGTCGAACCCAGTCAGAGTAATTACAGCCTACTCTCAGGTGCATCTCCTGCATCCTCCAATCTCTGGTTTCTCCACCTCCACACTCCTCCTTCCACCCCTCTCATCCTCTCTTTCATCATTTTTTTTCTCCTCCCCAGATAAATATTTCCAAATAAATATTTATGACATTCTCTGCCTTCGCACTGTTCTCAGATATATTATTAGGGTTTATCTGTCCTGACCAGAATAATTTAAAACAGCCCAAACCTGCTACTGACTTTTTAATCAGATTACAAATCACTCAGCTTTCACTTTTCAGCTTTTGTTAATTTCAATAGATCATATTTTCAGAACTATATTTTAAACAAACAATAAAAATGCTACTTTGTGCTGCCCAAGATTTCACATTCTTTCAAGTTCATTCTAGCTGCCCAACCAAAATCTGAATGTATTGCTGTGCACAGAACTGTGTCCAGCAATGCACCCACAGATGCCCACAACATGCACAAAACTAGCCAACACAAATGCAAAAAACCCTCTTGGGCCTAAACTGGCATACCCTAAAATGCTGTCTAATTTAGTGAACAGTTATTACCAGCTAAACAACAAGCACATCAAATCTCAATGAAGAATTTCCAGTAGCTTAGTTCAAAGCAAAATACTGGAAAATCTGGACTGCTTGGAAAGTTGTGTGTCCTATGTTATTGCATTGGCCCACAACGTCAAAGGTGGGTGTTGGTGGTATAGCAGTAGAGGCTTAATCTTCCCACTAATATTCCATTGATCGTTTTTGCTGTATGACAGACAGCATCAGTCTGACCAAATGGTGTCTGACATGTGCACAGGACACAAACGTGTGTCACTGAATTCATCCCTGCAGAAAATATATCACCCAATGACATTCATTGACCCCTGGTGAATATTGGAATAAAGAAGTGAATGGGGGCCAACCAGTGGATGTGAGCACAGTGAGGCGGTAGGCAATGCAATTCAGCAGTGGCAACAGTGACAGTGGTTCACATCTTCTGATGCAGACTTTTCTGAGCATAGCATGCAGGCTCTTGCTCATTGATGCTGAAAATGCACAACTAGTGGTGGTGACTATGTTGAAAAGTGCTGTTTTGTAGCTAAGAAACTGATTTATCAAATAGCATTACTGTGCTTGTTGAATCTGTTGTAGCTTCCATGGAAATCAGTAGGAAACATTATATTCAGAACAATATACATATAAAAGAAATCCCCAAATCCTTCTGTAGAAAATGTCTCTTTGTGAGATATTTCAACACAAAAGCAAGTGTGTTTAAAATTCCTCTTTGTTTACAGCCTGCACCATCTCCTATCAAACTTGAGTTGCATTGATACACAGGAATTCACCAGCTATGTGAAAGGTACAGTCAACTCAAGGCAGTCATTAATCTGACCTCCAGAACTATAAGAACTGTGTTACTTTGGTATATAATTTTGCTTTTGGTATTTGAGTACTTGGATTATATTTCAGGTCACAACTCCTTCGCTCTAATTGCATAGAAAAGATTCCTGTGTCTTTCTCTTTAAATGAAAATTCTCAGGATCCCATGATTACTTATCTTACTAAACTAGAATTTAGGAGGAACATCAGCTAACACAAGGCACAGTAATGTTGCTTTCAGTCAAATTGCATTTATGCAAATAAAGGTCAGATTTAGTACAATGGATTTACCCAGTTCTCAGTCTGGAGAGTGACTCACACATAGGACCTTTTCTAATGAGTTAACATAGCTTCAAAATGTCATTTACAAAGAAGACAAAACAAATCACACACAAAAATGCAAAACCAAAACAACCCTGGACAGAGACTATAACTGATGTAATTGTAACTCCTGATGCATCAGTGAATTTCCTTTTGCTGTTTGAAATCCTTTGCTAACTCTCTGCATGTATAACTGTTCACATTTTAGACTGTTCTCAATGTCTCTTTTTCTAAGCCTTTGAAGTAAAGGCAGGAAATAGGACTTGCAGATGTCACCACTGTGGTTCCTGGTCTAAAGACAAGCAACATAGAAACCTATACAGCAGATAGAGTTTTTTTTAAATGCACAAGTTGAATTTGTATAAATCTTTGGATTTATACAAATTTAGACAAATATTTTTACAAGTAAATCAGACTCCAAAACCAGGTCAAAGTAAGTATTAGGTCTCCTTGGTGAATTACCCTTACTTCAATTAAATTGCCATTGCTACTACTGCTTTATGCAGGCTTTTTAAAGCACTACTGTAACTAGTTTATTGCTCTCACACTTACTCTCCCTTACGCTCCTTTAGACATTCTCTCAACCTTTTATTTTTATATTTTCACTCCATTGAATGTGTCAAACCACATAAGCAGTGATTTTATCTGGTATACTGATTCAGTCTAATATGATATTAACGAAAAATCACACACAAAATCTACACTCTTTTAAAATTGATCTCAATGGTCTCTGCATTATCACAAATTTGAGAATCATTCCTCCTAAAGCAGCAAGATGGGTGGACCAGATCAATGATTTTCAGATGCAGAGAGCACTGACAAAGCACAGTTGTGAGTAGTCATCTGAAATGGACTTAGATTCATCTCTCTTGAGACTCAATGTCAGCATCAACGATGAAGGTTTCATCTACGTTCATTAAGCTGACAATGATAAAAGGAATCCACAATGATCACATTTGCTCATCTTCTTAGGGGTCAGCCAACTTAAAAAGGTATTGCCTCCAGGCACTCAGTACCAAATGTCCTTATCTTTAAGAATCAGACTTCAGCCAACAAGTAGAGCTGAAATTTACAACATGCATCTATAAGCTGCTATGAATAACATATACTGTGCTGCTAAGCTATATGCTAACAGTAGAAATGCTGTTTTACAATCACATGAGCAACATTTATAGGCTGTTACATCAAATATTCCAGAGTTGTACTGAAATCTAAAGGAGTACAAACTAAATAATAGTGAAATAACAGAGATGAGGTGATAAGCAGCTTAAGTGGAAATGGAATTAAACATTACTTCAGAAGGTAATATTTGCAAATGTTTATTAAGAGCCTAGCACAGTAGAGATGAGATGGCCCATAACAATGTTTTGTTTCCTTCTGCAAGCACCTAAGAAGGACCACTGCTTCTCTACTTCTATCAACAATTAAATCTCCAGTCCATTTTCACATGAAATCATCTGCATGAATAACACAGATGCCAAAAGGTACTGGCTACACCAGCCAGGAAGTTCACACTGTGTAATTCAGCATATACCCATATAGGAATATAGTATGACAATGAACAACTTAAATTACTGTTTTGAGCCAGCAAGAACCTTCTATACCCAGCTGCAACGTCTGATACAAGAAATATGCCACCAGCTGCAATAGCAGATGTTATGGAAACTGATTTCTCAAACAGCGTAGCATTGTCATATGGCTTCTACTAAGCTGTGCTGGATGAAACTTGAATTTACAAGGCCAGCTACGCAGCCTGCCTCTGGCCTACAGTACAGTCCATGGAAAGAAATGCTGTGTTTCCCAGCAAGCAACGTGCATTTATCCAACCTGAAAGTGGTGGTAGTTTACATCTGTATAAATTTGCTTTCTTCATTCATACTTTTCATTTCCTTTCTACCTTGATGTTTAAGAAAAATCAAGCAGAAGACCATTTTTATGGCAGCGTTTTCTTAAGAACACAGTTCATAATTTAATTTTTTATTCCTTAGTGTCACTAGTTTACATCCTGACTGTAAAGTCTCTCTTATTATTGCCATTGCATGTTGGAAACAATCATAGAACCGCTCAGGTTGGAAAAGACCTTAAAAGATCATCGAGTCCAACCATGGCCTGACCATACTACCCTAACTCTAACAGCCCTCCACTAAATCACATCCCTGAGCACCACATCCAAACTGTTTTTAAACACACACCCAGGGATGGTGACTCAATCACCTCCTTGGGGAAACTATTCCAATGCTTAACAACCTTTTCTGTAAAGAAGTTTTTCCTGATATCCAACCTAAACTTCCCCTAGAGCAACTTGAGGCCATTTCCGCTTGTCCTGTCACCTATCACCAGTGAGAAGAGACAAAACCCGCTCTTTTGCTTTAAGCGCCTTTCTGGCACTGGAAGAGAGCAATAAGGTCTCCCCTCAGCCTCCTTTTCCTCAGTTCCTTCAGTCTCTCATCATATGGCACATTCTCCAACCCCTTCACAAGCCTTGTTGCCCTTCTTTGGACCTGCTCCAGCACCTCAGCGTCCTTTCTGTACCGAGGTGCCCAAAACTGAATATGCAGTACTTGAGGTGGGGTCTCATCAGAGCCGAGTGCAGGGGCAGGATGGCTTCCCTAGCCCTGCTCACCTCACCATTCCTGATCCAAGCCAGGATGCCATTGGCCTTCTTGACCTGGGCACACTGCTGGCTCATATTCAGCCGACTGACCATCAGTATTACACCAAGGTCCCTTTCCATCATGCAGCTTTCTAGCCACTCTTCTCCAAGCCTGTAGAGTTGCCTGGGGTTGTGGCCAAAATGCAGGACCCAACCCTTGGCCCTATTGAAACTCACGCAGTTAACCTCAGCTCATCGATCCAGTCTATCCAGGTCTCTCTGTAGCGCCTTTCTCCCCTCAGGCAGATCAACATCCCTCCTAACTTGGCAAGATAAAGGTTTCAAGACAACTGCCCTTTCCAACACAGCACAGAATCTGAACAAATGTTTGAAACTAAAAGCTAGTTCTCTGACTCAACTTTTCCATCAGTAGTCTGCAGTATTCCACATTTCCCTCAATCAGAATAACTGAGGAAGTATAGTCCCTTTTTGATATCCTCTTGCTCTGGAAGAAAGAGACTGTCTTCTAACTTCATCATTTATTCTTTCAGCTACTGAGGGATCAAGCAATCATGGAAGTACTGCCTTCCAAATTGTTATTTGCTCATCATTTTGTGATTAGCAGCAACATCCCTTTGTCCAATCCCGCAACATAGAAATGGATGATTGTCAATAATTCATTCTGCCAGGTGTGAAAGTCTCTGCAGTAAGCTCCTACAGGCCTTGTTTAAAAGAAAAAAAGACAAAGCAATTCCCAAGAAATGCTCTTTCTGAAAAAGAATTTGCAATCTGACAGATACAAAGAAAAATTCTAATTTAACACAATTCATGTATTTAAACAAAAAATTACTCTTCAAATTACAAAATACTGCTATGAAGAAAAAGAATTTTCCTACTATCAATCTGTCATTCATAAATATTAATTAGTCAGAAGTTAATATGCAGAATATATATTTGTTGTATTTCAGTCCACAGCAATGTGTTGGATTTTAAACCCAGCAGCAAAACAGAATTCTTTTAACGTTTGAGCACACAAAACAGGCTTGAACAAATGCAGCGGTTGCAGATGTCTTCTGGGGACACTGAATACATCCAAGCCCCAGAACATAACCTAATCATAGAGACATCAGTAGTGTTTTGAGATCCACATGATAAATCTCATTGTTACTCTGTAGTTGGAAGCATAAAGATAAAATAACGCCAAAACACAAACCTGTTTCTTTGACTCCAATAGTAATTATATAGAGAGTGCTAATATTTGAATATGATAATTACAGGTATTTCAAAAGTGAACTACAGCTCATGGAACTTATGTGTAGCTCACTCAGCATGTAATACTCAGAAGGCTCAGGCAGCAATTTGAAAATGACAATGTTTTCTGATTGAAAAGACAACAATTTATGTAAATGGAAATCATAATTAAAAAGCAATTAATACTTTATCTCAAGGTGTAATTTCAATTCATTGTGAAGGCTTATTTAACACCCATAAGCTCTTATATGCATCTCATCCAACTTTTTTCCTAGAAAAAGTACTCCTTCCAATGAAGTGCTGTAGTTAATCTTATATGACAGATCTCAAACTATGGTTTGAAATTATTCTGCCTCTTCTTTGGAGAATAATTTCACCCGTTAATCTGAATTCTGAGTTTTGCAAAACAGAAGGCCCACCCACTGCACAAGAAAAAGACTCTACAAGAAAGGGAAAAAAAAAATAAAATCACAACTATTCCCTTTGTTCACAGATTTGGGCTGATTCCCAGAGTATAACAGATAATCATCAATCACAGAATCATTACAGCAGGCTACCATAATGGAGATGCAGGAAGCACCCAGCCACGTCCCCTTCTCGCTGGCTGTGCTGCTTGTGCCATCCCTGTGTACACTGAGGGTGGGAGCAATCCTTGGTGTGTGCAGCAGGAGGTAAATTGTTCTGATCATTCAGTTACAGCAACAGCTAGAAATAAAGCTGTGCAAAGCAGCTTTGACTCAGAGGAGAATTAAGACATGAGTATAAATCTATTCCTATGATTTATATTTACACAAGTTTATGTTTTTCTTTCAACTCTGGGAAGGAGAGTTGCTCATATGCACAAGAAAGTCTCTGCAGTTTGTTCTAAAAAAAAAAAAAAATAATCTGTGCTTTATTATATCAAGACTACTTCTATGCCTGCAAACAGAGAAAGAGTACACACAAATCATAGAGGCTTTAAGATACAAATAAAGAACATCCAGTGAAACAGAGCTCTTTCAGGCTATGCATTCAAAGTTTTAATCTCTCTCAACATGCTAATTTCTATGTGAAAGCAGATGTGCAAAAGTACAGGTACTTATTAGAAACCCAACTTCTACCTAAGGCATAGTGGTGTCCTCAGTCATATAAGCACAACTGTGTTCTTGGCTGTAAAACACAGACAGAAGCATTAATATATGGTGGTTACAGATTAAGGTTCACACCAGCCCTGATGTCCAAAATACCTGAAAAATTATTTTACAGCATTTTAAGTTTAGAGTTAGAAGCAAAGAATGCATACATCTGCCCAAACACTCCAAGTATCTGCTAAAACAGGGTCTAGTCTCTTCTATAGGAATGTTTCATTAGCCTTTTCACCTGACTAAATTTTTAATCCTAATACTTTTGGAGGTTTAAGGGATTAATAGAACAATTTGTTATTGTTATTGCTGTTAATGTCATTTTCATCAATAGGCAATGCTGCTATAATATACGACACGCAAAAAGTAAAATAAATTTATATAGTAGAAATTAGGCTGTACTTATCCAATAATGGGAATAAACTTAAAACTAAACCCGAGAATAAATTAATTAGAAGAAAAATGGTATTTTTTTAAATGTCAAAACAGACCAACAGTCTTGAGTATTTCCAGTGTATTTCGTAAACAAAATTAGAGTCAAAGTAACAGTTTGAAATAAGCCATCATTTTCCAGTGAAGGAAAAACTGTTCAGCACTTAATGGAAACACAAGCTCCTTCCAATGAGAAGGAAATTATTACCATAAAACCATAATAAAAGATGACTCAAGCTCACTGTAATTAAAACCACAGCTAACTACTTGAATATTTTGATCCCAGATTCGTGCTATTTAGAGTGGCGCTTACATCCAGCTAACTATTAGTGCATAAAAACATCCACAATATCAAATGAGTGGTTGAAATAAAAATATTCTACGATTAGAAGCTGTGAAATATAAGGTGTGCTGCGTACAGGCTGCTCCGTGGTAAGGCACGGTAATCTTAAGAATACAGTTTGCTTTCAAGTAAAAATCTTATCACAAAACGGTGCTTCCTTATATGACTCATAACTTCAGAATCTAAAATGTAACTATTTTTTAGGTTAAGGTATGTTTATAGCCTGCTCTGCTTCCCCCTCTCCTCCTGGCAACAACAAGAAAAAGAACACAAAAAACATGCATCTCTCCATTCATCTTTTCTCTATCACACATGCATCTCACTTGGTATCCATCATCCCCATGAACCTAAGCAATTTTTTAAAGTGATGGAAAACACAGTACATATAAAGTAAATTAATTTCAAAATGTTTCAAAGTTGGAAATAAAATTTAAATGATTAAGTCTCAGGTGGCTTTAAAAAAGGAAGAGATGATTAAAGATAGCAGTCGTTTTGTAGTTCATTTTACAACCATACATTTCAATTTTTTTTTTTTTTTTTTCTCTCCAATAGATCATGCTGTCCTTTGGAAAAAGGGAGAATGAATTCTGAAGCCTCTTCAACTTATTTCTTCCCATTTTCTCTCCTCTCTAGCAGAGTTAAAATCTAGCAAACAATCTACATGTGTCTGCACAGTGCTCAAAGCAGTCTGGGTCAGATCATTTGTTCTTGGTTGAGAGCTGTCTCACAGAGACAGAACTGCTGAGGTTCCAACAGGATCACTCCCTCTTGAGAACAGCAGAAGCTGCTGCCGCATATTTTAGGACCTTTTGACTGTGACTTCTCTGGAGAGAAGAAAGGTGAGATGACAATGGGGTTTTACCTCTGCAGCACTCACCATTGAGCAAACACTTCATTGCACCTTTCCAGCTTCCCACTACTGGTACAATTTGTTGCATCACTGTATTTAGACAAACTGAAGTCATCGGGTTCTGAAATTGCAAAAGTGAGGAGTAGATCTGTTGCACTCAACCTTCTAGAAGATATCAAAGACTCAATGAATTTTGCCAGAAGCAGCTTTTGGGATGAGTCTTTAAAAATCACCTGTCTGTAGAAAACTAATTACAGTGCTTAGGGCACCACGCTAATAATTAGTTTCAAAGAACAGCTTGCCTTAAACTCTTAAAATGCTTTCCCACACTGAACTAGAAAAGCAGGTGCAGAGTGAAAATTTACACTAAATACTTTTGAATGATCATTAGATTTTATGGAGCCCAATTTACCTGCCAAGTCTGTGCTGCACGAACTCTACTACCTGGCTCGGCAGACAGAGCAAGACAGAGTTTTCTCAAAGATCCATTTGGCCAGGATCTCAGTTTGCCTCTTTCATTTATAGGAATGAATTTTTTTCAGGTGGATGACTTAAAACATGATGCTAATAAACAAATAATGATAGAAAATTGGAGCCAGGTATCATTTGTGCATCTCTATTTGAAAGGAAGAGGCATTGCATCACCTTTTTTTTTTTTTTCCTATTCTATTCTAATATGAAAACATTTTACAAGCATTACAGGTTTAGCTGGAGTCCTTAGCCATGTCCCAGCATCAAAAACTCAAACTTCCAAACATTAAAAGTATGCCAGCTTTTTTCTTCTCTCTCCCCACCCCGCCTCCCGTAGTTATTTTACTGTTTGCAAAGCATTAAAATTTCCTCTACGTGCTCATTATTAAAATAAAGCTATGAAATTAATTTTAATGGCTTAATTATCTTCTTACAAAGAAAAGTAAGTTAAGTAGAAAAAATATATTTATAAAAAATTTTAAAAGCTGCATATGTTTAACAGAAATGCTTTGCATTTCTATCAGAGGGAAATTCAGACATTCAGCCTATGTGAAATTCTGGCTCCATGAGCACTGAAAGGGGTTATAGTCATTATTTATGGCATATACTGTTGTCAACAAGGAAACAAAATCTTAAATAATTATTTACTGTAGTCTACGCAAGTATGCAGCAAGGTTAGAGCACCTATCAAATACTGTTACATTCCCCAGATTATTGAAGGAAGAATTAATGCTTCAAATCAAACTTTGAAGTAAAAAAAGGAGGTGAATGGGAAGTAGGAAAGCACCTGGATTTCTGCTTTGTTACATGTTTGCTGTGGAAATAATCTGCTTGATTTTAATGAGAGCTGACATCAGCAAGAACAGTCCCTGCCATCACTTCACAACTAGCTGTTTTTCACTGATGTCTTTTTTTTTTTTTTTTAAAGTATTGAGTTAAAACTTTATACAACTAGAAATTAAAAAAGTTTCTAAGATATAATAATGGAAGTAAAAAAGAAATCCCTGGAATTGCTAAGAGCAGAATGGGAAGACTAAAAATCTGTGACTGAGATATGTAGATATCTTACCATCTAAGCTTCCTTAAATTATTTCCAATTGGCAAGTTTCAGTTCTGTTGAATGCCAGCCAGAAAGCCAAGGTGGTATGAAACATTTAAAAAGCATTACTTTTTAACAATGCCCAGAAAAAAATGGTACCTTTTTAATAGCCATGTGTCATAACTATTTTTATTTAGGAAAATCTATTTTAATTTATTTAGGAAAATCTATTTTAATTTAAACATCATAAGCCCATGAGCTATACCAAACAATATATGTATAATTTTTTAACCACATGCTGTGAATTACTGCAAAGAAAACTGTTACCGTTCTTCCTCGTTTTAGAAGTTCAAATACATGTGTGTTCATGTACACACCTGTCGACAGTGAAGGAAGGAAACCACTAAAATCCATTAGTTAAAATAATGGCAAATTCCAAACAGTACAACTTCCCTTGGGTTGCTTCTTATCCCATATCTCTCTAGCTCATCTTTCATATAAGCCCCTTCTTGAACCAGTTCTCCACAGCAAGCTGCTAGTGATGATGGCCATCAACCCAGACGATGTAGAAAGCTGCTACAATTCCTTTCATCTGCTCTTTTCCTCAATTCAAGCACTGCGTGCTTTGAAGGCAAGTTTTCCTTCTCCAGGTGCTAAGAAATGGAAACATGCATGTGTGTGCACACCTGTGAGCATCAACCTGCTCAATAACAGAAGGAGAACTACAGACTCCCTCTAAATCTTTGAGCAGCATCACTGAAAATGAGTTTCGAAGATTGCCTTCTTCTGTAGCTTTTCCTGTGCAGAACATCAATGAAGAACGTATGTACGAAGTTCTCCTAGGTTTTTAAAATTTTATTTAATTATTAAGTCTGAGACTATCAATAAAAGAATTGGATTATCCTAGATATTTATTCTAACGTAGCATTTTGATTTTCGGGAGCTGATATAATGATTACTTCAGGCGCCCATAACCATGACTATGCACATCTGATACTTTACAAGTCTTCAGTGTAAAACTGAAGATGGTAAACATAGCTCACGGGGCAGTCCAATGTGAGCAGTCTGTGTGCGTGAAGGAACAGAGAAACGAAAAAGACTTTCAGGAACTTCAGGTTTTTCCATAACTGCTAAACATAAAGCGTGTCATAAACTCACCAACTTTTTACTTAAAGAAAACAGAAAGCCACCATGTGCTTAAGATTGAATTTCCTTACTTAAAGAGGATTTTACAAATAAATTAGCCAGGCTCTTAAAATTGTAAATTGTATGTGCAGCTAAACTGATTGTGCAGTTTACAGAAGTCTGCAATTTAACTTAAACGGAACAAAATATTCAATAAACCAGAAACAAGAAACAGTATAATTAATCATTTGCTCTTATATATAGTTTGACTAAAATCATGTGTATTTTTTTATTCGCAGCTGGGATATAATCCAAACCAAGAGTTTTATATTAGCAAAATCTGTTCTTCTGTAAGAAAAATAGCTTTATATTCCTGATCAATTTGCTTCACAGGAATATAGTAAAGAAGATGAGAAAGAAAGCAGACTTCATAGGACAAACTTATTTACCTCTCTCAAAAATTATTTTAGACTCCTATTGAAAGCAGAGAGGTTTTCATTAGAAGAATATAGAAGAGCACAGTCGTCACTAGATGACTATGTGTCATGCAGGATTCAACAGGTAAATATAAAGGCACTTATGACACCATTACCAAAATGGCAATATTTGCAGTCATCTATCTAGAATTTTATGAAATCTAGATTTGGCCACTAGCAGATTCAAATGGTTGCTGTCCATGAAAGGTTCCATTTCAATGAAAGATAATTTTCACTGAAATAGATCCACACCAACCAAAATACATAACATCAACAAAATCAAATCCTAACCATATTCATAAGCATAATGGTCCAAACTGTAAATTCCTCCTCTGTTTGCCATGAGCTAACAACTTCTAATTACGGATCATACATAGAATCCCAGAAGGATTAAAGCCTTTGTAAGTGGCAGCAGTAAGAAGCCACCACCAGCACGGTGCAATGACTGCTGGTTATGCCCACGAAGGACACAAGTACTACTCTGTTTGGAAGGATATCTATCTCAGTGCAAACACAAGTTAAATGGTCAAATTGTTGGTGTTGGTATAACTCACTGCAGCACACAAAAACATTGATCATATTACCAGATAACCTCTAATCTCCCTCTTTTTCTAGTTTGGCACTGCTTACATGAAATTCTTCAGAATTATTATTAAATGTAAACTGAACCTTCTCTTCTACACCAAACGTTTTCGAACTTCAGACAGACCCCCTCAAACAAATAAGCTGTTTTGAAAATGATTTCCAGGGCGATGCCTGTTGCCATAGAGATGACATTAAGTGAAAAGGACAAAAAATATAGAGGGTGATAAACTGCATGGTTGGATGACACACTTGACTTCCAAGCCTGTGTTCAAATGAGGCATACATGCCAAGATTTTTTATGAAAGACAAAATTAAAATGTATCACTATCAAGCTGTAACTGACAAGGTATTGTGTGGTGGCTGTTAACATAATGCTCCATATATTTATTGTTTGTCATTTTTCTGGCCCTGATAAAGGTCTTTTAGAGCTGTAAATCATACCATTAAATCTGCCACTAGAAACAGAGGCTGTTTGGAGAATGAAAAGAAAACACAGAACTGAATCACTACTTACAGGTTTCTGCTTCATGACAGATCTTAACTATCACATCAAAGATGACATTTATTCTTTGAATTTGGCACACTTTCAAAAGCCAGGCTGTTGGCTTGTGACCTAACCAGAGGAAAAATTCTCTTGAAGACCTGGTTACTTATCACAGCCATTTATTGCATGGATACAGTATACAGGAATGTCCATAGGGCTTAAGATTATATGGAATTACTCACAAGTTTAAAAATATTGGTTCATTTGCACTACATAGGGTT